AGGGTTGGGAAAGGAGAAATGGAATTAAGACTCATAGGGAGGAAGTGTAATAAATGATGTTACATGGAGGAAATTGCAATCAGTGAGATGAAATGAAATATATAATTTGTTGAATGTAAAACTGATGATCTTCTCTGTAAACCTTCACTCAATTAACAATAAAAAGTTAAAAAATATATGCACTGTGTCTACAAAGCCCAGTTAATACAATTATTATTCAAATTTACATACCAACCACCAAAAGCAATAAAGAAAAAATTTAATAATGATTCCAATTTATCCAATTTGAAATTGATCAAACCTGCAATCAAGATATATTGATACTGGGTTTTGGAAAGTGAAAGTTGGAAACAAAGAAGAGCAATAGATGGAAAATATGGTCACAGTGATGAAAATTATGCTGGAAATTGCTTGATGGAATTTTTCAAAACCTATGACTTATTCATTGCAGCTACTTCTTTTCAAAAACATAAACAGTGCCGTGTAGCAAAAGGAGGGGAGTGATTGACTTTGCATTCCAGGAGTAGAGGTCCCTGGAACCATCAAGAGAAAAGAGCGGAGTGTGGGACCCTACCCAGAGAAGCAGTGACTTCAGAGGTGGAGGCAGAGACGATTTCATGGAAAGATGGAGCAGCTGGGGACTCTAGACCCAGAGAGGGAGAGGGGCTGTGTGCTGATGACCAGGGGGCAGGTTTTCAGGATATAACCTTTGGTTGGTTGATGATGCATGGAGGGGATTGTAATCATGGCAATGAAATGATATGCGACAGAATGAATGTAAAGCTAATGTTCTGCCATGTAAACTATCAAGTAATTCACAATAAAACATTAAAAAAAAAAAAAAACATAAACAGTAACTATACACATGGACATTGCCAGATGGAATCAAACTGACCACAACTATAAGAAGAGACAATGAAGAAGCTCCACATCATCAGCCAAACAAGGTCAGGAGTCAACTGTAGAACAGACCATTAATTGCTCATCTGCAAGTTCAGGCTAAAGCTGAAGAAAATTTAAACAAGTTGAGAAGATCCTAAATATGACCTTGAATATATTCATCTATTTAAAGACCATCTCAAGAACAGATCTGAAGCCTTGAACACTAATGACTGAAGACCACAAGAGTTGTAAGATGTCATCAAGAACATCATATCGGAAGAAAGCAAAAAGTCATCAAAAAGACAGGAAAAAAGGAAAAGACCAAAACATATGTCACAAGAAATACTTAAACTTGCTCCTCAACATAGAGAAGAGAAAACAACTGGGAAAATGATGAAGTAAAAGAGCTGAACAGAAAACTTCAAAAGGCAACTCGAGACGGCAATGCAAAGTTTATGATGAAATGTTCAAAAACTAGAGTTAGAAAACCAAAAGGGGATGATCACACTCACTATTTATCAAGCTGAAAGAACTGAAGAAAAAAAATAAGCCTTGAGTTGCAATATTGAGGGATTCGGACAAAATATTGAATGATGCAGAAAGCATCAAGAGAAGATTAAAGGAATACACATAGTCACTGTACCAAAAAGAATTAAGATTCAACCATTTCATGCAGAATTCTTCAATTTCATCATCACTGGATTTAGTGGTTGGTGTATTAATTTGAATAATAGTAGTATTGACTGATCTTCCTAGTAGGCTTATGGATATTATACTATCATAGACAGCATTATACTTCAAGATAGATCTTTACATGCTCTTTCTGATGATGAAACCACACTATTCCTCTTCAATTTGTCATTCCTGGCATAGTAAGCCATACGATTGTCAGATCCAAAATAGCCAATACCGGTCCATTTCAGCTCACTGATGCCTAGGATATCGATAATGATGTGTTACATTTCATTTATAACAACTTCCAATTCTCCTAGATTCATACTTCATACATTTTATATTTCAATTATTATTGGATGCTTACAGTTGTTTCTCTTCTTTATGAGTTGTGCTCCATTAGCAAATGAAGGTCTGGAAAGCTTTACTCCATTCATGTCATCATGGTCAACTCTACTTTGAAGAGGTAGCTCTTCCCCACTCATATATATTGAGTGCCTTACAATTTGAGGGGCTCTTCTTCCAGCACTATATCTGACAGCTATTCTTCCAGCCCTATATCTGACAATACTCTGGTGCTATTTGTAATATCGTCATCTTCCAGCACTATGTCTGACAATGTTCTGGTGTTATCCATAAAGTGTTCAGAAAGATGCTTACTTGTGTTTTATTGACTATACAAAGGTATAGATATGTAAATCAAAGACTACAGCTTTCAGTATGGATTGCAACTCAATGTAAAGAAAACAAAAATTCTCACAACTGGACTAAGAAATAACATCATGATAAATGGAGAAAAGACTGAAGTTGTCAAGAATTTCATTTTACTTGGATCCACAGCAATATTTATGGATAGCAGTCAAAAAATCAAACAACATTTTACATTGGACAAATCTGCTGTAGAAGACCTCTTCAAAGTGTTAAAGAGCAAAGATATCCACTTTGTGGATAATAACAAATTATGGTTAATGTTGCGAAAAATGGGAATTCCAAAATACCTAATTGAGCTAATGTGGAACCTGTACATAGACTAAAAGGCAGTCTTTTAAACAGAATATGGAGTTACTGCCTCGTTTAAAACCAGGAAAGGTGTATGTCAGGGTTGTATTATTTTATAATACTTACTGTATCTCTATGCTGAGCAAATAGTCCAGGAAGCTGGACTATATGAATAAGAACATGGCATCAATACTGGAGGAAGGCTCATCAACAGCTTGTCCTATGCAGATGACACAACTTTGCTTGCTGAAAGTGCCCAGGACTTGAAATACTTGCTGGTATAAATCAAAGACTACAGCCTTCAGTATGGATTGCAACTCAATGTAAAGAAAACAAAAAATCCTCACAACTGGACTAATAAATAACATCATGATAAATGGAGAAAAGACTGAAGTTGTCAAGAATTTCATTTTACTTGGATCCACAGCAATATTTATGGATAGCAGTTAAAAAATCAAACAACAAATTACATTGGACAAATCTGATGCAGAAGACCTCTTCAAAGTATTAAAGAGCAAAGATATCCGCTTTGAGAACTAAGGTGCACACGACCCAAGTCATGATATTTTCAATAGCCTCATATGCATGTGAAAGTTGTACAATGAATAAGGAAGACCATAGAAGAATCAATGCCTTTTAAGTATAGTGCTGGCAAAGAATATTGAAAGTACCATGGATTGCAAGAAGAACAAACCAATCTATCTTGAAAGAAGTATAGCCTGGGTGTGCCTTAGAAGTGAGGCTAGTAAGACTTTGTCTTATGTACTCTAGACTTGTTATCAGGAGGGACCACTCCCTGGAGAAGGACATCATGCTTGGTTAAGAGGGTCAGCAGAACAGAGGAAGACCACCAATGAGATGAATTGACACAGTGACTGTAACAATAGGCTCAAACAGCAACTGTGAGACTAACACAGTGTTTCATTCTGTTGTACATTTGATTGCTATGAGTTGGAAGCAACTCGATGGCATCTAACAACAACACATGCAATATTTTAATCAAGTGTTTCTTCTTTGTTGCTTTGCTTTTCTATCACTACCAAAATTTGTGAGGATGACATAGAACAAGGCAGTGTTTCATTCTGTTGTGCATCGGATTACTTTGAGTTGTAACCAACTAGACGGCTCATAACAACACTGTCAATATCTTAAGTGAGCACTCTATAAAGGGACTTCAAGAAGGTCCTGAAAAAATTCCTTTACTTTTTATTTCCATATTTCCATGAACTTTTTGAAGCCCCTTAGTATTTATTTTTATCTTGTTGACAACCACACCAGAGTATTGTTTCTCTCTGAATCCTTGTTTCAGGAGTAAATTGGACTAACCTTTGCTGAGCTTCCAAAATTGTACCACTAAAATGGTGGAGAATCTGCAAATTAGTCAAGTAAAGAACAAAAACATATGGGATGTTTATTCTAATGACAAAAAACTGTCAGGAGAAAGGTGAGACCAAACAGTTGACATAGCATCATATAGAGATAAAATGTGGTTTATTTGTTGTGGTTCCAATAGGCAAAAAAGAAGATATTTGGACTTAATGAATAGAAGAATTTCTGTTTCGTTTATACCTACTCTTCATTTATTGAGTGGTGGTGGTTATGTGCTGTGGAGTCAGTTCCGACCCACAGTGACCCTGTACAGGGTTCCGAGACTGTAAATCTTTACCGGAGCAGAAAGCCTCATCTTTCTCCGGCAGAACAGCTGGTAGTTTCGAACTGCTGACCTTGCGGCTCACAGCACAATTCGTAACCACTACGCTACCAGAGTATCTGGCTGTTTGTAAACACATATATGTTGTTGCTGTTGTTAAGTGACATCAAGTAGGTTCTGACTCATAACAGCCCAGTATAGCATTTCTGAGGATGTAAATCTTTGCAGGAGCAGAAAACTTCAACTTTCTCCTGAAGGGAAGCTGGTAGGCTTGAACCACTGACCTTTGGTTTACAGTCCAGTGCTTACCCTCCAGAGCCACTGTACTCTCACAATCAATATAAATTAACCAAATACTCCAACTAATGGACAAATGTTGTCAAAATGAACTTTTTAAAAATTGCTGCTTATAAGATACATATTTTATACGAGTATAAAAGGATACTAAAATATTAGAAGTAAAGGATGAAGAAATTAGCCAAAATAAAGCTGATGAGTTGTACTAATATCTACAAATTAGGCTTCAAGATAAGAAATATTCCTTTCGATAAAATAATGAGCATTTCAGCAGGCTGTTATAAAATTCTGAATTTTTATGCATCTAATAGCAAGCTCCAAAATATACCTAATAAACAGCAAAAATTGACAGAGAAAACTTTAAAATCCACAATCATAATGAGAGACATTAAAATCTTAGTGTCTGTCTCATTTAAGATAAACATAAGCAAATCGGACTGTATCATAATTCATTGACCTTTAAGAAAATGCCAATAATGTTTTTGTGCTGCTTATATAGGACTGGAGAAGCTTGCACAAAAAGGGAAATCATTGTCACCTTTAGCAAGTATAACTGGAATATCACTATTTTTGATCATATCCATGTGTCTTCTCTTCCTATGGAAAAAATATCAACCATACAAAGGTAAGTTAAAATTAGAAAAGAACAAAACAAGGTAGTTATATATATATATATACCAAAAAAGTAACTCTGATTTTTCTCTCTTGGTTTTAGTTATAAAACAGAAGCTAGAAGGCAGGTAATACATTTGTTTCTACAAAAATAATTTTTTCCTTGAACTCTTTTCCTCAGTTATTATCACTGACAGAAATCTTATCTTTTCAGACCAGAAACAGAATATAGGAAAGCTCAAACATTTTCAGGTAATGGCCAAAAGAAAAGGAACTATTATGGATGTTGATGTATATTAGGTAATATTAATTATTATGTATATTATCCTGTTGATATAATAGAGTCCTGGTGTGGTGCTGTGGGTTAGTGTGCTGGACTGCAAGTTCGATTTGAACCGCAAGGTTGGTTCTGTTGAATCCAAGTCTGCTGAATCCAAGACCAATGATCCTGATAGTATTTTGAGAATGGTAAAGGGTTCTATCACTTTTGTTATTTGCAAAATAAAAAGCTCTTTTGGGTATTCCTTGTTGTTGATAAGTAACGTGGAGTTGATTCCGTCTCATAGTGGCTCTGTATAGGGTTTCCCAGGAGTGGCTGGTGAACTTCAGTCACCAACTTTGTAGTTCAAACTGTCCAGCACAGTAACCTGCGGCGCCACACCAGGACTCCTTGGGGTATTCCTAAAGCAGATGCAAAGGAGGGGAAAGGAGGAAATGGGGGCTTGACAGGGACCCACATCATAAATTAATGTCGCTTTTGCTCAGCCTTGGAGTCAAACAGAGTTGGGTTTCAGTCCCACATATACAACTTTCCCCCATATCACATTAGGAGAATTAATTTTTTCTGACCTCAACTTCCTCATCATATAAAAGAGACAAACTTTCTCATAGGCGCGTTAGATACATTAAATAAAACGATGTAGGTGGAGTGCCTAACATGATTCTCGGTGCTTAATGAATGAGGGACTGCTCCCTCTTTTCTAGCACTTTTCTTACTTACAAATGACAGAAGTCAGAGATCATCTGGTTCTTCCCTGCTCCCAGACATTTTACAGATGATAGTTTAGGTGACACTGGTAATGTGTTGTGCTAGATTATATTGTATTTTGTATATGTAGGCAGCTATTTGCCTATTAATTCTTTTTAATTTTGGGGTGCATTAGATATGACAGATTGAGTCAAGGATTGTGGTGGCCTCCATGCTAAACTGTTGGAATCCATAAGAGTCTGGTAACTAAGGGTCACAAAGGACTATACACTGTCGCCACATCAGGTTTTAATAAATATTGTTTCAATTCAGCCTGTTTTATAGTTTCAGTTCTTAGCTTTAGAAGAAGTGATTTCTAACACTACATAATGGCAACATGATTATAGGGAACTGTTGTTGTTGTTAAGTGCCGTGGAGTCGGTTCCAACTCATAGCCACCCTGTATAGGGTTTCTGAGGAGTGGCTGGTGAGCTTGAATCACCAATCTTTTGGTTCAAACTGGCCTTGAAATCAGCACCAGGAATGTTAATTTTGGTTGTGTACACATATCACATAAATCAGGCAAAATATTTGTTTGCAAAAGTTTTCTTTTTTTTTTTATAATTCAACAACAATAGTAACCCAAAGCATAAGTATTATTTGTTTTCTATTTCAGGTCATGAAGATGCTCTGGATGACTTCGGAATATATGAATTTGTTGCTTTTCCAGATTCTTCTGGTGTTCCCAGGGTTGGTTTTCCTAGTGACTGATTAGACAAGTAGAGTTCTTTACCAGAGGTGCAGGCAGCGTTCAGGAAGCACTTAGGCAATGTGGTCAAAAGGTTGCATTGTCCCTCAGCAGTGCTGACTTACTCTATGATGTGTAACAATGCCAGATCTGGGGGCAGAAGCATCTTCTACAACCTTCCTAAATAAGGTTAACATGAAGATGTTATGTTACTTCATAGACACTCTTTATCCAGTAAACTCAGTAAGAAACTAACTAGGTTGAAGTTTACAGGAAGTAAATAACTTGGGGATCCGGAAGCCCAACTTAAGTGTTTAGCCATTGACCTCAGTTACCGCATCATTTCCCCTTCACATCTCAGGAGGGCTTTGCAAAGACAATTGAACATACTCTTGAAGGTACTTCACAGTCTTCAAGAGAAAAGGTACCAGGTGAACAGATAATACAGACACGAATCTTTATTCTCATCCCAAACATGCATGTGGTGAGGAGAAAATACAATTTTACACAACAGATGCTGCTTTTTCAACAGGCAAAGAAAAGTCTTTTAAAGCAGTTTTGTTTTAACAGACACACAGAATGTTGTTCTTAACTAATTGGCTCATTAACATTTTTATAGATTTTCATAGGGTCGACCGTTCCTCTGCTTCTTATGGCTCACTTATAGAGGGCTTCGGTTCATTCATTCCCAGTTTGAAAAAGAACTGTTTGCCTGGTGTGGCACCATGGGTTAATGTACAAAGTTGGTTTGAATGGCAAAGTCGGCGGTTCAATCTCACCAGCCACTCCTCAGAAACCCTATACAGAGTCACTATAAGTCAGAACTGATTCAACCACATTTAACAACAACAACATTTGCCATAAGGAGTCCTGTGGGTTAATGCACTGGACTGCAAAGTTGGTTTGAACCTCAAGGTCAGCGGTTCAAGCTCACTAGTTGCTACACAGAAACCCTATACAGGGTGGTTATGGGTTGGAACAGACTCAATGGCACTTAGTGAAAACAACAATTTGCCATAAGGAAATTGTTGTCTCACATGTTCAGAGAATTCTATCAACATCCAACAAGTTTCCTGGCCACAGACATACTTTCACAAATGCTATATGAGTAGTGTTGAAGGATCAGTTGGATTTCATCCTCCCTACTAGTGAGTCCTGGTGTGGTGCTGTGGGCTAAATCACTGAACTGCAAGGTCAGCTTGAACCAAGAGCTTGGCAGTTCAAACCTACTAGCCACTCCTCAGAAACACTATACAGGGTCATTATGAGTCACTAACAACAATAACAACACCAGTGAACAAGCAACACCAATGCCCACTTCATCACAGGGCAGATTGCGTTGTGCGAATCAGATTCAGGCTGGATTGGCTCACTCTTCAGTGTCATCATCAGAAAGACAAAAAGAAATACTTAGCAGATCAAGTTTTCCCAACTGCTTTCCTTATGGCAGAGATCAGCTCTCTAGTATATGACATCAGATGGGAGAGCAGAAAACTGAAGTGTTAACAAGAATTATAAGTGAATTATTGAAATAAGGAGTTTCTCTATTGTAAACATTTTTTTACTCCTAAAATTTCATTGGAAATGAATGAAATTTAAAAAAGGAACTTTAAATTTGTTGTTCTTAAGTGCCATGAAGTTGGCACTGACACATAGCGACGCTATGCACAGCAGAACAAAACACTGCCTGGTCCTGGGCTAACCTCACAATTGTTTATGTACCTGTGATCATTGCTGTCACCACTGTGCCAGTCCATCTCGTTGGAGGTCTTCCTCTTTTTCTCTGACCCTCCACTTTACCAAACATAATATCCTTCTCCAAGGACAGGTACCTTCTGATAATATGTCTGAAGTTTGAGAGATGAAGTCTGGCCATCCTGGTTTCCAAGGAGCACTCTGGCTGCACTTGTTCCAGCACAGATCTATTGGTTCTTTGGGCAGCCCATGACACTTTCCATATTCTCCTCCAACACCATAACCCAAATGCATCAATTCTTTTACTGTCTTCCTTATTTACTGGCCAACTTTCACATGCTTATGAGGTTATTGAAAATGCCATGACTTGGGTCAGGCACACCTTAGTCCTCAAACTAACATCTTTGCTCTTCGACACTTTAAATGCATTATGTCATTTGATTTTGTGAATGCTGTTTCCATGAGTGTTGATGGTTGATCTGAGCAAAATGAAGTCTTCGACAACTTCAATCTTTTCTCCATTTATGTGGATGTTGTTAATTGGCCCAGTGATAATGATTTTGGTTTCCTTTGCATTGAGATGCAACCCATACTGAAGACTGTTGTCTTTGATCTACAACAGTATTTTAAGTCTTCTTCACTTTCAGCAAGCAAGGTTATGTCATCTGCATATTGTAGGTTTTTGATGAGTCTTCCTCCAATCCTGACACCATGTTTTTCTTCATATAATCCAGCTTCGGGGTTATGTGCTCAGCACACAGGTCAAATAAGCATGGTGAAACAATATAACCCTGGTGCACACCTTTCCTGATTTTAAAGAATTTGGTGTTCCCTTGTTCTGTTTTGAACAACTGCCTCTTGGTCTATGTACAGGTTCCTCATGAGCACAATTAAGTGTTCCAGAATACTCATTCTTCAAAATATTCTCCATAGCTTGTCATGACCCACACAATCAAAAGCCTTTGCATAGTCAATAAAACACAGGTAAACATCTTTCTGGTATTCTCTGCTTTCAGCTAAGATCCATCATACGTCAGCAATGATATCCCTCATTCCATGCCCTCTTTTGAATCTAACTTGAATCTCTGGAAGTTCTCTGTCAATATATGGTTGTTGCCGTTTTAGTATTATCTTTATTAAAACTTTACTTGCATGGGATATCAAAGATATTGTCCAATGATTTCCGCATTCCATTGGGTCACCTCTCTTTGGAATGGGCACAAATACGATCCCTTCCAGTCACTTTGCCAGGTAGTTGTCATCCAAATTTCTTGGCATTAATTAGTGAGTGCCTCCAATACCACATTCAGTTTGTTGAAAGATTTCAATCTATATTTCATCGATTCCCAGTATGCCTTGTTTTTGTCCAATTCCTTTAATGCACCTTGGACTTCATTTTCCAGGATCTATGTCTTTTGAAATGGTTGAACATCAACCATTTCTTTTTGATACGGTGACTCTGTGTATTTATTCTTCTTTAGATGCTTTCTGCATCATTCAATATTTTGCCCATAAAATCCTTCAATAACAAAAGTCGAGGCTTGAATTTTTTCTTCAGTTCCCCCAGCTTGAGAAATGCTGAGTGTGTTCTTCCCTTTTGGTTTTCTAACTCTAGGTCTTTGCACATTTTGTTATAATAGTTGACTTTGTCTTCTTGTGCTGCCTTTTGAAATGTTCTGTTCATGTCTTTTACCTCCTCATTTCTTCCATTTGCTTTAGCATCTCTATGCTGGAAAGCAAGTTTCAGAGTCTCTTCTGACATCCATTTTGGTTTCTTCCTTCTTTCTTGTCTTCTTAATGACCTTTTGCTTTCTTCCTGTATGATGTTCTTGATGTCATCCCACAACTCCTGTGGTCTTCAGTCTTTAATGTCTAATACATCAAATCTTTTCTTCAGATGATCACTAAATTCAGATGGGATGTACTCAAGGTCATCTTTTGGCTCTTGTGGACTTGTTTTTATTTTCTTCAGCTTCAGCCTGAATTTGCATATCAACAATTGATGGGCTGTTCCACAGTCTGCCCTGGCCTTATTTTGGCTGATGATATGGAGCATTTCCACCATCTCTTTCCACAGATGTAGTCAATTTGATTTCTGTGTATTCCATCTGGGGAGGTCCATGTGCATATTTGTCTTTTATGTTGTTTAAAAAACATATTTGCAATGAAACAGTCATTGTCATTGGTCTTGCAGAATTCTATCCTGTGATCTCCAGCATCGTTTGTATCAGCAAGCCCATATTTTCCAACTACAGATCCTTCCTTTTTGTTTCCAAGTTTTGCATTCTAATCGCCAGTAATTATCAATACAACTTTGATTGCAGACTAAAGAAGTTGGTAGAATTCTTCAATTTCATCATCACTGATGTTAGTGATTTTGAGTAATAAATTTCGGTAAGAGTGGTATTACCTGGTCTTCCTTGTAGGTGTGTGGATATTATCCTATTACAGACAGTGTTGTACTTCAACTTTACATTTACCTTGTGATTAACCCCAACACATTGCCATCGAGTCCATTTCAACTCATGGTAGAACTCTATAGTACAGAGTAGAATTGCCCCACAGGGGTCCAGGCTGTAATTTTTACAGAGCCAATTGCTACATCTTTCAGTCTTGAAGCAGCTAGTGAGTTCAAACTGCCAACCTTTTAGTCAGCACCCTACCACTCACCCACTGTGCCGTGAGGGCTTCTTGTGATTAACCAGTACTCCGTTTTAAGGTCTGATTGGAAGGACTTGATTGGGAGGCTCAAAAATGTACAGTCCTCAGAACTTGAGGCAGAGAAACGAATATTTTCATTATATCTCATAGCCCCACTCCTTATCTTTTATAACTGAAAAACTTGATTTGGAATTATGCCTGTAGTCAGATCTGACAAACCCTATGGAATCTGTTGAGGTTCTTAGTTGACTATACCAGTTGCTTGGCAGAAGATGTGAGAAATCAAACTCACAAATAAAGAAGGAGAAGAAAGGAGGAGGAGGATCTATGTGAGAAGCCAGAATGGTATCTACACATGGAGATTAGCATCCAAATGTAATGGCATGGAGAAGAGAAGGAAAATTATAATAAAATTAGCATCTTGGAATTCCAGTTAAAAAGAGAAATAAGTTTGATTATGAACTCTTGGAGTTTTTGAAAATTGAAATAATCTCATCTTGTTGTGAGAATACTCTTCCTATCACTACGTGTTATATATTTTTACTGTTCTAATTTCCTTGGAGATGTCCTGGTTCGGTACTGTAGGGTAAACACTACTAACCACAAGGACCACTAACTACAAGGTCGGCAGTTCAAACCCACCAGCCACTCCTTGGAAACCCTACACAGGGACACTATGAGTCAGAACCAACTCAATGGCACTTAACAACAGCAAGCTCTTTGGGGAGTTGGGCACAGGCAATTGCATGAACTGAACAAGTTTACAACTTGTCAAGAGTGCTAATATTAGGTTGGCTCAGACTCTCAAAGTGGTCATCTTACCCATTGCCATCAAGTAGATTATGAGAAAGTGGTCACCAGCATATGAAAATGCGAAGAGTTTGAGATGGAGAAGGGAATCAGCCTTTGACTAGATTAGGAGAAGAAAATTATGAGACACAAATGGAAATAAATAAAACATGAATTCTCATTTCAGTAAAATGAATGTTGGTTTTTACCAGACAGAAATATACTGCTATACTTTCCAAATGTATCCACATCTTTTATTAGCACCCATTACTGCATCCAAATCCAAATATCTCCCTTCATATGTTTTGTAGTTCTTAGTAATGTCTTCAGTCATGCAATGTGCTGAGGGCTTTTAGCTGTATATTGTTCCTTTCTTTACAGCCGCACTTGCACACATAATTGGCAAACAGTGTCAAAAGGGCACTGTAGATGTCCTATAAAAGATAACAATATATGCTCTCTGACTCTAAACTCTCCTCTTGCTATTTTCTTTCTATTATATTTCCTTTATAGTACTGCCAACTTTCTTCTTAAATGAAGAAATAAAGTGATAGCTTTGTCAAGCTATTGACCTCTTCTGACCTCATTGCTACGCTGTTGCACAAACTGCCATAGGGTAAGTGCACAGAACTGTACCAAGGAGGAAAATGAACATTCTCGGGAAGATAAACAGTTCTAATTTTCTAATCACAACTACTTCCGTTTGTTTTCAGCTATGCAGCATAATTTTGCCAGTCTTCCTCTAAAGTTATTTTTTAAATATGTCACATTCTTAGATGCCGAGTAGTTCTGTCCTAGCCACTGATGGGGTATCTGGGCAAGATTTGCACAGTACCATTTATGAAGTCATTCAGCACATCCCTGCGCAACAGCAAGACCATCCAGAGTAAGTATGAATCTGCATTTGGTGGTGTTACTATAGAGAGGCACTACATTACTTAACCTGTACTTTTCCCTGAAAACTATTGAAAGGCTCAAAAGAAAAATATTAAAACAGAAAAACTTAGCCTCTGTTCATTTGAACACATTTCTCTACTTGAAAATACTTTTTAGAAATAAAATGCAAATATCTGGGGCTGAAACTTGGGCCAATGGACTAGATGCTGAATGCTGAAATCAAATCAAAAGAGAATATTTCCCTTTTCTCAGAGCATGAAATAGTTATTTAGCCCTATTCTCAAGACATCTCAGTTATCTTGACGACTTTCCAGTAGTAATGGTTGTGTCTCGGTGTCTCTAGGAGGATCATATTTTAACTACCAACTGAAAGATTGGTGGTTCAAACCAACCCAGAGGTGCGTAAGGAGAAAGACCTGGCTATCTATTTCCAAAAGGAGCACAATTCTACTCTGAAATATATGGGCTTGCTATGAATTGGAATCAGCTTGAAGGCAACTGATTTTGTTGTTGTTTTTGTGATGGTTTTAAGGCATTGGATAATGCAAGTGGGTATTTGGTTACTAACCATAATATTGGTAGTTACTAACCATAATATTGGTAGTTGAATTCTACCAAGAGGTGCCCTAGCCATCTCCTTCTGAACTATAACGGCATTGAAAACCCCATTTAGCACAGTTCTACTTTGAGTCCTGGTGTGGCGTTGTACTGAGCTAAGGTGAACTTTGCAAGGTTGGTTTAAACTGCAAGGCCAGTGGTTCAAGCTCACCAGATGCTCCTCAGAAACCCTATATAGGGTCACTATGAGTCAGAACTGATTTGAAGGTACTTACACATGCTCTTACCTATGCTTTATTGATTACGCAAAGGCTTTCGATTGTGTGGATCATGACAAGCTATGGAAAACATTGCGAAGTATGAGTATTCCAGAACACTTAATTGTACTCATGAGGAATCTGTACCTGGACCAAGAGGCAGTTGTTCGAACAGAGCATGGGAACACTGAATGTTTTAAAATTAAGAAAGGTGTGCAACAAGGTTGTATTCTTTCACCATACTTACTCAACCTGTATGCTGAACAAATAATAAGAGAAGCTGGGTTCTATGAAGAAAAACGTGACATCAGAATTGGAGGAAGACTAACAACCTGCAATATGCAGATGATGCAATCTTGCTTGCTGAAAGTGAAGAGGACTTAAAATATTTACTGATGAAGATCAAAGAGCACAGCCTTCAGTATGGATTACATCTCAATGTTAGGAAAACAAAAATCCTCACCGTTGGACCAATAAACAACATTCTTATCAATGGAGAAAAGATTGAAGTTGTCAAGGACTTCATTCTTCTTGGATCAACTATCAACACTCATGGAAGCTACAGTCAAGAGATCCCATGACGTATTATATTAGGCAAATCTGCTGCACAAGAACTTTTTAAAGTGACGAAGAGCAAAGATGTCAGCTTGAGGACTAAGGTGTGCCTGACCCAAGCCATGGTATTTTCAATAACCTCATATGGATGAGAAAGCTGGACAGTGAATAAGGAAGATTGTAGAAGAATTGATGCCTTTGAATTATGGTGTTGGAGGAGAATACTAGTGCCATGGGCTGCCAGCAGATCTGTTTTGGAAGAAGTGCAGCCAAAGTGCTCTTTAGAGGCCAAGATGGCCAAACTTCATCTTTCATACTTTAGACATATTGTCAGGAAGGAACAGTCGCTCAAGAAGGATATTATGCTTGGTAAGATGGAGGGTCAGAGATAAAGAGGAAGACCCCCAATGAGATGCACTGGCCAGGTGGCGGCATTGATGGACTCAAGTGTGGCAACGGTAGTGAGGTTGGCCCAGGATTAGACATTGTTTCATTCTGGTGTGCATGGGGTCGCTATGAGTTGGTTCTGACTCGATGGCACCTAACAACAACACAACTCCGAACACCTGGGGTCACTGTAAGTCAGAATCAACTCCACGGCATCTGGTTTGGTTTTGATTTATGGTGGTTTCAAGGCTGTTAAGATGGGGGGAAAAAGCCTATAGAACTTTTATAATACCAAACCCAAATCCACTGACTTGGAGCCAATTCCTACTAAAAACAACCCTCTTGGACAGAATAGAGCTGTTCCTCAGGTTTCCAATGCTGAATCTTTATGGAAGTAGACTGCCTCTTTTGCCTTTTCTTTCTCCCATGGAGCAGCTGGTGGGTTTGAACTGCTGGCTTTTGGTAAGCAGCCCAATGTTTAACCCACTGCACTACCAAACCAAAACCAAACCTACTGCCATCAAGTGGCTTCCGACTCATAGTGACCCTGTACAGGGTTCCAAAGCTCATCTTTCTCCCGCAGAAAAGCTGGTGGGTTTGAGCTGTTGACCTTGCAGTTAGCAGTCCAGTGCTTATCCTACAGGGCCACTGCAGCAGCATCAAATGGCTACCCTCTTACAGATTCAAAGCATGTCTACTTCCACATGAACCAAACATGAACCTGAACAGTGAGGACTGTTCTTAGGACCAAACGTCAAACCAAACTCTGTTGTAGGGTTGATTCCAACTCGGAGCAACTTTATAGGACAGAGGTAACTGCTCTATCAGGTCTCCAGGACTAAATCTCTACCGAAGCAGACTGCCTCATCTTTCTCCTTCAGAGTAGCCTATAGGTTTGAACCATTGATCTTTCAGCTAACCTCCTATGCCATCATGTGTACAAGCTAGGAAAGTGGCCAGGTCTTCTACGAATCCAGTCAACCTCAAGGCTACCCCTAAGGTGTCTCCCTTCCCTGCTATGGAGAGACCACGCCCACAGTCTTTTGAAATAATGCAATGAGCTTCTGTTTTTTGTAGACTGTAACTGCCTGCAGATATAACTGCCACAAATCATTTTCCATCCTTTCTTTATTTGTCATGTACTCACTTTGAAAAGAACATCAATAGCCACACACAGGAACATCCGCTCTGGCAAAAGAAACAGTTTTAGCAAAGCAATTCATGTACACCTCTGAGTAAATAACAAAAATAACAGCTTCGGGTGAATGAATGCATAAGAAATTGTCTTAAGGGAAGAAACCCAGTCATATGGAGACTGAGCAGTATACTTTCAGAGGCACTGTCAGTGAATCCTGTCTTGCCCCAAGTAGCCTGGAGAAAAGGAAGGCAGGTCTATTAGAAACAGACTGCCAGAGGTCTAAATTTCTGGTTTGAGAAGAAAATTGTTTTAAATAATTACACCATAAATCTAGACTATCCTGGTATGGCGCTGCAGGACAATGCGCTGGACCACAAGGTCAGTTTGAACCACAAGGTTGGTGGTTCAAATCCCCCAGCCGCTCATAGGAAATCCTATACAGGGTGCTATGGGTCAGAACCGACTCGATGGCACTTAACAACAACACAAGAATAGGATATTATTATTTTAAGGATTTTATAGCTTAGTGGAATCCTGCTCGTTTGTTTTAACTGAAGACTGTTGTTAATACCGTAATGTTGGTTTCCACTTTAGCAACACATTATAGGGTTCCCAAGGAGCACCTGGGGGTTTGAACCATTGTTCTTATGGTTAGCCATTGGTGCTTATCCTAGAGTGCCACACAAGGACTCTAACTAAAGACTAATCCTTAATCCAATCTTCCTAAATAAAGTAAACATAGCCTATGTTGATGTTGGAGTCCTGGTGTGATGCTGCGGGTTAATGCACTAGACTGAAAGGTCAGTTTGAACTACAAACTCATCAGCCGCTCCTCAGAAATCCTGTACGGGGTTGCTATGATTCGGAATCGCCTCGACAGCACTTAACAACAGCAACAACAATGTTGTTAAGTGTCATTGAATTGGTTCTAACCCATACAGGGTTTCCATGGAGTGGCTAGTGGATTTGAACCATCAACCTTGCAGTTAGCAATCCAGTGCTTATCCAACTATTGAAAATATCATAGACTGCCAGAACAACAAACAAATATGTACTGGAAGAAGTACGGTGCTCCTCAGAAGCAAGAATGGCAAGACTTTATCTCATGTACTTTGGACACTATGTCAGGCGGGACCAGTCCCTGGAGAAGGACATCATGCCTGGTAAAGTGGAGGGTCACTGAAAAAGAGGAAGAACCCATGAGATAGACTGACTCAGTGGCAGCAACAATGGGCTCAAACATAATAACAATTGTGAGCATGAAACCGGGTAGTGTTTCATTCTGGTGTGCATAGGGTCACCGTGAGTTGAAACCAACTCTAAGGCACCTAACATCAGCAACAAGAGATGCAGAAACCATTTTTTCTCCTGATTGCTTATGGTTTTATTCTTAAGGCTCAAATAAATTGAAAGATTAATTTTATGAATAATGTAGTAAAACAGGTGGTTGACAAATCTCTCCTCACACCCATTCCCAAAGTGAACATGCTGTTATTGTGGAAAGAAACTTAATGCTTTCTTCTACCCTTGTCAGTTTCCCTCTGAGATAGGAAGAACAACCAGTTTCTTTCTTTGACTGCTAGACTATTCTAACAGGGTTGTTTTCTTTACTACCTGAATCTATTATCTAATTGGACTGGTGGTTAACAATTGATCAATTGGCCTGTTTTCATACTCTGGTACTCCGCCAGATTATTTGTTTACTGAATTTGTGAATGCATTTATTTAAATGGTGGCTATTGGCTGCATTAAATGTTCTTGATGGGCTTTCTTTTAAACACCATGCTTACTGTAAGTATCTTAAAAATAAAACATCCAAGTAAGTATGCCTTTGGTTTCAAAAGAAAATTATCTACAGAATTTAATGATTGCTTACTCTTTGTGTTCATTTGTTGATACATGTAATTTTCTTGAATTAGCTCAAAACCTCCATATTATTTGCTACTCTGGAAAGGAATAGAAGAATCTAAAACTCTTCCACCTGTAGACTTGGAAATGCCTAGAAATTTTACATATTTTGTGCATCTCTTTGACAGGTGAGCAAAGTTTGTATTGGAGTGAAACAATGGAGGAACATTTGGAGGAAAAACACTGGAAA